AGTCCACTTACATTCTTATTTCTTCTTAGTTGTGTCTATTTTTATAGTATTTTATGTGAGAGGAATAAGGGATAATGGTAATTTAGGTAGGGATTTTAGGAAGGGCCACTGAACTTGTGCTTAGTGTTGAATTTACATGTATTTCTTACTGAAGAATTTGGGTACAAAATCCTTCACTGCTTTAATTGATTTATGGCATTATTCAATGAATTGGTGAGTTTAGTGCATGTGCCAAGAGAAATTGTAAACATTCCCTTGAAAGGAGTTTGTACAGTTGTGGAACATTCAAAGATTAATTACAGATATTGAGAGTCAGTCCCTCAAACTGTTAAATAAATATAATAGTCTTAATATCAACACCTTTCCAGACACATTTTCAAAATGAAATTTGATGATATCACAAAACATTACTGAAATTAATCTATGTATTTTAAGCACAGTACAATGTGTGGTATTAATATACTATGCCTAATTCCTGAAGAAGTATGATGAGTGTGACTTTTAGCTAAAAAAAAAAAAAAAAAGGCATGTGTAGAATTTGAAACTACCAATAAACTTTCTCTATCACACAACTCTATAACTCCTTATTTTCCTTTTTCTTTTCAGGGAATATTCCCAGGGAATATCTTCCATGTTGTGTTTATTAATATGGGAGATAAAAATACCAGAGATAAGACTCTCAGTCACCTTTGTGTGAATCTTTGATTTCAACAAAAGCCTATACTACAATTTAATTCATTTGATGACTGGGAAATCCTAGCATCTCTGCTCAAGTTCCTGAAAGGCTTAGAACCAGTTGTGAAGATTGACACTGAAAATTCAAATAAATATGTAAAATAATTTAAATTATCAAAATTATTACAAACACATGGCAATAAAAATGCATCATGTGATCTGATCCTCTTTGGTCACGTAGTTCTGAAACATGTTAACAGAAGGAATCTTTGTTATGGATACCAAATAGTTTTACTAATTCAGCTCCAGAAATATAGTCTGACATATATTAGCATTGATTTTTAATGAAAATAATTTTGTGTTAATCCTTACAAAAATTAACTTTTAAATACTATATCCTCATTCTATCTTGTGATTTTATAACCCTCAGAGCAGGTGTGCTCATGAAAAAGGAAGTATCAATATAATTTGCTTATAAAATAGAACACTGTTTTTTGTGAGGCAGTTGGACCTCATTACCTCTATGATCTTTCAGACCCTGTAAAATCTATATTTTGTTAATTAATTAAATATTCATTTAGCTTGATGCAATGCTAAACACACACATACACACACAAAGAGAGAGAGAAAAAGATACTTTTAAAATAGTCTATATTTACTTTAGAGGTGATGTGGAGAACTCTCTTTTATCTCCAAGCATTTTTTTTTTTTTTAAGTCAGTCTGGTTCTAGACTTTAGAATTTACAATCTAATACATATGTTTTCATGATCTGTACACATATAGAAAGGTTTATATAAAAAGAATGGAAAATAAATCATTTTTAATAATTTGAGTATTAGTATTATGAACAACATATTTGATTTAAAAATTACCACAATAATATACACTATTTTATAGGAGAACAAGGACTTTAGAAAAATTTTAAGAGAGGGAAAGTTAGGTATATCCGGAAAACAACTTCCACTCTTTGTCCTTTTCTACAAATAATTTTTGGTGTGACTCTACCTTGTGATCAGAAATGCTGTGGAAATGTTGACATAATTTGAGATCATCCAAATATGTCTGTGAAGAAGGATTTTATTGCAGCAGTTTTCTTAAAATTATTTCTTGATTCAAACCAGTCAAAAAAACATGAAATTCAGAAAAAGCATTTTGATGCTGGTGCTTTCTCTGTTGTTTACACAATAGTTGTTTGTGTGTGTATATGTATAAACCATACATATATGTATACATATGTATATGTATAAACCACTATGCTTGGGTAGCATAGTGGCTAAGGCACTTGACTGCTAACCAGAAGGCTGGCAGTTCAAACCCACCAGCCACTTCTCGGAAGGAAGATGGGGCAATCTACTTCCATAGTGATACTGCCTCGGAAACCCAAAGAGGGGTCGCTATGAGTCAGGTCCGACTCGATGGCACATAACAACAACACATGTATAAACCAGTTGCCATTGAGTTGATTCCAACTTAACAGCGATTCTACGTATGTCAGAGCAGATCTGTGTTCTGTAGAGTTTGCCATGGCTGATTTTTTGAAGATTGCCAGGTCATTCTTAGGAGCCTCTGGCTAGTCCTGAACCTCCAATTTTTGGTTAATAGTCAAGTGCATTAACCATTTGTACCACATGGGCCCCATGTATATGTGTATATTCATATTAATATTTACATAATATTAGTTTATATTGTAAACTTCCTGATGTAGAAATAATGCATTAGCTAAAATATGAAGCATAGTATGCAGCTATGGTTTATATAAAAGGACAGTTATCTATAATAATAAATAAAAACCAACCAAATGATTGGGATGCAGAAACTATGCAAAAAAGGATGAAGAGCCTCTTAGATAGAAGAAGTTCAAGGCAACTCTTCCTGCACCCAGACGGAGCATGTGTGGATTCAATTGGCCCAACACCCGAAACTCCTGATTTTCATTTTTTCCATTTGATTACATGACCTGAGGACAAGAAACCAAAATCAAGCCACCTTTGGAGTCAACTTTACTCACCACTTTCTGTCTGTAATTCTGGGGTTATTTACCAGTGGTCTCTCTCATCTGCTTAGGAGCACCAGACAACATGTTGGACTTTCTCCATTAACTGAGATGAAGAAGGACAGGGGGAAATAACAACCACCTAGGCAGTTATTTTTTTCTTTATGATTTTTTTTCTTTCTTTATGCATGATGAAGTGTTTTAGGGGTTGAGGGTGGAGGAGGAGAGAACAAAAATAATAATAATTTTAGAAGATTTTTCTCTGTCTTTTATTCTTGAGCCCCATGAAGCCCTGGGAAAAACTGTCATAAAATAAATTGCTAAGAAACATATTAGAGTTTATTTTAAAAATCAAATATAATACAGAGGGCAGATAAATAATGAAGTGTGGAAGCCATATTCCGGCCACAAGGGACTTTATGGGGAAAAAAAGAAGCAAGACATAGCAAGGACAGTACCACAGGAATGCTAGAGATAACTTCCTAAATACCTTTGCCACTGAAGGTATCATTTTAGAAAGGATGGTTCTGATGGATGATGACAGGGAATAGATCTGAGCAAGCATGATGACTTTCAACTCTACTCAAAACTTTAATAAAATCCCAAGGGATCATAAACTGGCAGCTGTTTTGTGAAAATGAAATGCTAATGTTCACAATTATAAGTTTTATACGCACAACCATAACATATATAAAGGTATTAGGTTCTTTTCTAATGCAATAGATGTATGATTTATGTATATTACAGCAGGTTAAATCTCTTGAGGTAAGAGGAAAAAATTCACTGATAAGTATGCATTGGACCATATGAAATATGTCTGGACAGTTTTGTCTCATAAGTACTTAAAATAGAGAAACACTTATTTGAAGGTGAGAAAAAAAAAAAAAGATAATTTTACCTGAAGCAAGAATCTTATTAATACTACCCTAAAAAGAAGAAACAGTAATAATATTGCATGCTGCTGAAGTTTTAAACAGTAGTAGATAAGAAAGGAAACATTTCACATGTTAAGAAAATTTATCTTAGATCTTGTTGATTTTTGAAGACTAAACTGAAAGAGAAAGTGGAGAGGCATTACATTCAGTTAAAAGCGCTGGGGGATGAAAGAAGAGCGATCTCAATCATGACCAAACCCAGTTACTATGGGAAACCATATACTAATTGGAAATAAATGAAGACATTTGTGTCATTAATATTTCTTTCTGGATCTGGATAGATTACCAACACCAATACTGAAATTTTAAAATCCAGTATACATTAACCAAAAATTAAGTTGTTTATAAGACATCTAACTCACTGCCATCAAGTTGGTCCTGACTCCAAGTGATCCCTACTTGGGTTTCCAAGGCAGTATCTCTACGGAAGTAGATTTTCTAGTCTTACTTCCGAGGAGTAGCTGATGGGTTGAGCCATTAACCTTCTGATTAGCAGTCAAATGCTTTAGGTACTACATCACCATCACCAGAGCTAAGAAGAAATGGATGGATTCACAGAAATGTGAAACAACCAAATCAAAGAAGGTGAGAAAACATGACCCTCTCTGTGAAACTAAAAATACTCATTCATTAATTCATTTAAGCATTATATTTTGTTGCTTATGAGCATAGGCTTTAGAGTCAGACATAAGCATAGACCTAGACCATTATAAGATATATGTCCTTGGATAAATTAAATTTCTTAAGCCATTTTTTTAAAAATCTGTACAATGGGTATAATCATATCATCTCATAGGATAATTTTGAGAGTTAAGTCATTAAGATTTAAAAAAAAAACCAAAAAAAACACTTCAGGTTCTGGCAAAATGGTGGAATATGCAGATAAGCTACACAGACCCTCTGCAACAAAGCAATGAGACACCAATCAAAATCAAGAGAACACAATCCTGGAACCTGAGCTTTGAAGGCAAGGATAAAGAAGGAGATTAAATACCAACTAGTGGAAAACCTGAATGAAAACAGTAAGTAAGGAGACAAATGGGACTGTGGATTGCTGGCTCTACTAGGGATACAGCCATTTTGAACACTTCCTGACAACAACCTAAGAATCAGCTCTGCTCATTAAGGACTACAAGTGTAAGGACTGCGTTGATGTTTGACAACCAGAAAGGAAAACAGTGAAGAAGAGACCTGTGGAATACCAGTGGCTGTCTTGAGGGTGCAGCCATTTGGAATATTTGAAAGTGGTAGACATGGCCATTTTGAATATGTGCAAGTAGCATTGTTACCTGGACAGAAACCTAAGAATAGGCTCCCCTTGCCGAAGACAGCACGGGTAACCAGACTGGAGACTGACAATTAGAAATGTTCACTATTCCCCTTGGTACTCTTATACCCCATACCCTCTTGGTGAACAGAGGGGTGGCCATCCTCTGCCTTCACTCACCTTCTTAACCAGCCAGAATTCCATCCTGGTCTTTGCCCTGACAGAGTCTGAGTGCTGTGTCCCACCCCCCGACAATTGGTTTTTGTCTGCTTGCTTTTAAATTACTCTTTTCATCTTCTTCCTTTATTTATTTATTTTTTTTTATTTTTCATTTTTCTCTTCCTTTGCTGGTTCCCTTTTCTTTCTTTCTTTTGGTTCTCCCCACCCCTTGTTTTTATTTTTTGCAGTTTTCTCATTTTTTTCTTTACTAGTCTTTCATTCTTCAACTTTTTCTCTTATACTTCCCTCCCCAGTTGTTGTAGCTCTTTTCCCTCTATTTTCTTATTATCTTTCTTATAACCTTTTTTCAGTATATTTTTTAAAAATTTCTTCTCATTTATTGCATTTCTTTTTTTTTTTAATTGTTCCTGTTTGGTTATGCAATTTGAGGGGTTTTTTGTTTGTTTGTTTGTTCTCTTGTTTTTATTTTATTTTTGTTACTTTTTATTTGTGTGTGTTGTAGCTGAGTGAGAGACAGCAAGAATTCCTACACAACTCAACCATATCTGCCCTTCCTGCCACTGCAACCACTGAGCAAGGGCCACCACTTGCTTTTGCACCAAATGACCAATGATAGATGGTGGCCAAAACCAGCTTGACTCACCCTCATCTGCTCCTATGGACAGCTAACAGAAATCTGTGCACAAACTCTCATTCTTTATCACACCCACTAGGAGACAGATGATGAGTGCCTGTGTGCTAACAATTAGTGAACAGAGGAGCACAGTATCATTCACATCAATATATCAAAACAAAATAAAGGAAAAAAAAAACTTTGGGGGAATCACAATATACAACCACAAATCAAACATAAATTCAACAACACCACAATGTCTCAGAGACAAAACAACATCACAGATCACACAAAGAAGCAATATAAAGTACTAGAAACAAGGGACTGGGATACAAACCCAGAAAACATCCCTGAAGAAGAAGCAGCATTGCAACTCCATGATAAGGAACTCAAAATAATTATATTTTGGAACCTTCCATAGACTGAGAGATCAAGGAAAACATTGACAAGATCAAAGGAAATAATGACAAATTAAAGAAACACAGAAAAAAAAACCTCTAGAACAATTTAGGAAAACAACAAAAGCACCAATTGTCAAAATAAAAAATTAGAAATGATACAAAAACAACAAATAGAAATCCAAAAGGTTAATACAAGGATTTCAGAAATATACAACACATTGCATGGAAAAAAAAAAAAAAAGAGTAGAATTGAATCATTGGAAGACAGGATTAATGAGATTGAAGACAAATACCTCTATTCTACTTTGCTAAGGGATCAATCAGAAAAAAAATCAAAACAAAATGAAGAAAGCCTAAGATTCATGTGGGATATCATCAAGAGGAATAACCTATGTGTAACAAGACTTCCAAAACAGGAAGAGACAGATAAATCCACAGAGAAAATTGTCAGAGATTTGTTCAAAGAGAATTTCCCTAATCTGATGGAAGATGAGAATATATCCATTTAAGAAGTTCAACAAACCCCAAACAGGATAGACCCCAAAAGAAAATCACCAAGACATATCATCATCAAACTCACTAAAACCAAAGACAAAGAAAGAATCCTGAAAGCAGCATGTGAAAAATGAAAAGTTAACTATGAAGGGAAACTAATAAGACAAAGCTCCATTTCTCAAGAGAAACCATGCAGTCAAGAAGACAAAGGGATGATATATATAAAACCCTAAAAGAAAAAATCCCCAACCAAGAATTATATACCCAACAAAATTGTCCCTCAAATATGAAGAAATTAGGATATTTCCAAATAAGCAGAAATTAAAGGAATTTGTTAAACCAGATCAACCTTACAAGAGATGATAAAGGCAGTCCTTCAGAGAGAACCAACAACAAATGACAACTGATGATTAACACACATGATGACATAACCCCCAAACCAACCCAATAATAGAAGTATCCAAAGTAAAATAAGCTTACAAACTGTAAACAGGAAATCAACCATCAATTGGCAAATGAAGACTACTACAGTCCAAAAAGAGGGAATATATAGTGTAGTTACAGAACTTCTAAATGGTGAAGAAGTCTAGACAATTGTGAGATAGAACACACTGCTTTAAACATAGGAAGAACATTATAAATCACAGGATAATCTCAAAGAAAAATAATAAACCTTCATATCAAAATGAAAAAAGAGGACAAGCAAAAATATTTAGTAAATATTAAAACAATAGCAATGAAGGAAATAATAACATGATTCATTAAAAAAATGAGCTCAGCACAGAAAATTATATAGAACAAAGAAATCAGCAGCACCATAAAAAATACCTAACAAAATGACATCAGTAAATTCATACTTGTTTATAATTACACTGAATGTAAATGGGTTAAATGCACCAGTCAAGAGACGGAGAGTTGCAGACTGGGTAAGAAAACATGACCATCAATATGTTGTCTACAAGAGATTCATCTTAGACACAAAGACAAAAAATGGACTAAAAGTCAAAGGACAGAAAAAGAGATACCAAGCAAATGGCAACCAAAAGAGAGCAGAAGTGGCAATAATTTCTGATGAAATAGATTTTAAGACAAAACGACCATAATAGACAAGGAAGGACATTATATAATGATTAAAGGATCAATTGTACAAGAGGACATAACTATCACAAATAGTTACGCACCCAATGAAAGAGCTCCACACTTCATAAAACAGACTAACAGAATTGAAAAAACAAAAAGATGACTCCACAGTAATAGCAGGAGACTTTAATACACAACTTTCAAGAAGAGATAGAACACATGAGTGGTAAGATGGCAGAATAGGCAGACAAACTACACAGACCCTCTTCAACAGAGAAAAGAGATACCAATTAACACAAATAGAGAAGATAATTCTGGAGCCCTGAGCTTTGGAAGGAAGGATACACAAATGGACTAAACTCCAACTAGTAGAAGAACCCACGTGAAAACACCAAAAGAGGAGATACACGGAGCTGGGGTCTGTCAGTGATCTTGATGGCACAGACAGCTTGGATTTTGCCAAGTGGTGTTAGGAGCTAAGAATTAACCTAAAAGTCAGCCCTGCTAGCCAGGGCCTGTATGGAGGATTGTATTGGTGGCTGGTGAATAAAAGGGGAAACAGCGAAAATTGAGACAGGATGAGGTGTGGAATTTTGCCTGTTCAGAGGGCACAGCCATTTTCAATTTTTACAAGCAGTTGGACAATTTTGGATATTTAAAGCAACAACATTCTCTCAGATTCTAGGGACTTAAGAATAGGTTCCCCTTGCCAGGAAATGCAAGGACATTCCAGACATGAACGACTGGAAAGGTATGATATTCCCCTTGTTACTCTTATATCCCCCACTCTCTTGTTGAATGGAGGTGCGGCCATCCCTCACTCCCACCTACCTTCTGGGATAGCAGGAATTCCATTCCAGTCTGTGTGCTCTAACAAAGCCTGGGTACACTGCCCATCCTGCCCAGAATTTTTTTTTTTTGGTTTGTTTGTTTTTGTCTGTTTTAAAATTACTACTATTATTATTATTTTGTTCATCCTCTTTATTATTATTCTTTCTTTTTCCCTTCCTAGGTTCTAGTTTTCAGCTTCTTCTCTTTTCCCTGTTCCTGGTTCCCATTTTGTTCTTTCTTGTGGTTAACCCCGTATCTTGTTTTTCTTTTTGCATTTTTCCAATTTATTTCTTCATTATTCTCCTACTCTACCTCTTTTCTCTTATTGCCCCCTCCCAAAATACTGAGGGTTTTTTGTTATTGTTGTTGTTTATTTCTTTTTTTGGTGATGGCTTCTGTGTGTTTCTGTGTTGTGTTTTCTGTCTTCTTGCTTTTACTTTTTATTTTTATGGTTTTTTGATCGTTGTTTTGCTTATGGAGTGGGAGACAGCAACTGTTCCCATACAACGCAACCACACCCACACTTCTTGAAGCTCCACTTACCGAGTGAGAGCTACCACTTCCTTCTCTACCAACTGGCCAATGATAAACGACTACCAAGAAAAGCCTGACTCAACCTTAACTGCTCTTCACAAACAGTTAACAGAGATCTAAATAAAACAACATCACAATGTCTCGGAGGCAACAGACCATCACAGTCCACATGAAGAAGCAAGAGAAAATGAAAGAAACAAGGGAGCAAGATAAGACCCGGAACACATCCTTGAAAAAGCAGCAGCATTGGAACATCCTGATAAGCAATTCAAAAGAATTATATTTAGGTACCTTCAAAGGATTGAGAGACAGATCAAGGAAAACACTGACAAAATAAAGGAAAACAGACAAAATCCTAGAACAATTTAGAAAGAAAATATGAGAATAAAATGACAAAATAAATGAAAAATTAGAAATGATACAAAATCTACAGATAGGAATCAAGAAAATTAGTACTAAATTTTCAGAAATAGATAATACATTGAAAGGGTAAAGAAGTAGAATCAAATCAATGGAAGGCAGAATTAATGAGATTGAAGACAAATACCTGAATATTTGTTTGGAAAGGGAACAATCAAAAAAAGATCATAACAAAGTGAAGAAAGCCTAAGTTTCATGTGGGATGTCATCAAAAGGAATAACCTACATGTAATCGGAATTCCAGAACAGGAAGAGAAAAATAAAACCACTGAGAAAATTGTACAAGGTTTGTTGGAAGAGAACGTCCCTGATATGATGAGAGATGAGAATATATCCATTCAGGAAGTCCAATGAACCCCAATCAGAATAGATCCCAAAAGAAAATCACCAAGACATATCATCATCAAACTCATCAAAACCAAAGACAAAGAATCCTGAAAGCATCACAGGAAAAACAAAAAAAGTTACTTACATAGGGACAAGCAATAAGAATAAGCTCTATTTCTTGGCAGAAACCAAGCAAGCAAAAAGCAATGGCTGGTATATATAAAACCCTGAAAGATAAAAATTTCCAACCAAGAGTTATATACCCAGCAAAACTGTCCCTCAAATATGATGATG